AAAATACCATAGACTGGATGGCTTATAAACAACAGAAATTTATTCCTCACAGTTCTAGAAGCTGGGAAATCCAAGATCAAGGCACCAGCAGATGCAGATTTCAACATATGAATTCGAGGACTGGGGGACATAGACAGTGCACCATAGCACATTATGTCCTGGACAAAGTGATGGCAAAGTTTTATAACAGTTTTTTAAGTCCATGTTAAACATGAAAAGTATTATCACCATGAGCCTTTTCAATCAAGAGTTAGTAATACAGTTAGTTTGGCATTTTTTTCATGTTTTATAAAATCTCAAGGGTAAGTACCCCAGATTTTCATGTTGTACTCTTATGACTAAACTACTGAATAATACACCATATTCACGAAATGGAAAAGGAGAAATATAGGGGCTTGTCTATCTGAATACTAGCCAAAAGCTAAAGAAAACTGCTATATTACAAATGGTAGAAACAACTCCGTTTCAGAAACTAAGTTTATTTTACGAATTAATTTCAAGCCTGTTTGAAAACAATTATAATTCTAATAAGAATTAAAATTCAAACCATTTTGGATGATAAATATTTAAAAGCATTTGGTCTGGAAATTAAACTGGAACAGCAAATAAACTACTGTTATCAAATTCACTGTGGTGGGGTGAACGTCTGTTTTGCGGAGAGATTTTGGTCTGAACTGCTAATCGCTGAAAACACATTCTCATTCTGTAACTACCACTACAGACATATAAACCTGACATTTATTCCTGAAGAGCTTGATTCTTATTTCCTCAACTTTCTTTCTTCTGAAGAAAACATCTTTTAGAACTTTAATCCTTTGAGCACTCAATTCCTGAAGCAAGCAAACCCATGTAAACATACTTAATTCTCTCTCTTTGATTCAAACTACATGAAATTTAATAGAGATCCCTAAACTCAAGCCCAGCGTCTTCCTTCTCAGAATAATTGTTCTTTCATACTTGAGATCAGCTTCTTCTCACTGCCATTATTGGCAAGAGTCCACTCTGGCTCCCAAGATAAACGCTAAGCCTGTATAGGGCTTAGCTCCACCCATGTAGGGAGCATCAATGGGAAACATAAATTTTTTAAAGGATTAAAATTATGTTTGGCCAGCAAATTATAACTTAATTGCATTTCCTTTCACTTTATGACTTAGAGGTTATATTCATTTGCTAGAGCTGCCAAAGCAAAGTACCACAAACTGAGGGGCTTAATTATTGTTTCACAGTTCTGGAGAGAGGTCTGTCTTCAAGGTTGATTCCTTCTGAAGGCTGCGAAAAAGGATCTGTTCCATCCCTCTCCCCTAGTTTCTGGTGGTTTGCTGGTAATCTTTATGGTATCTGCTTATAGGAGCATCACCCCAATCTCTGCCTTCATCTTCACATGGTGCACTTCCTGTGTGCGCATCTGTTTCCAAATTTCCCTGTTTTATAGGAACACCAGTCATTTTGGATTAAGGCCCACCCTAATCACCTCAGTTTAACTTGATTACCTATGTAAGTAATCTATCTGCAAAGAAGGCCACATTCTAAAATAGTGGGGTTAAGACTTTAACATGTAGATTTAGGGGTGGGAGGGAAAGAGTTCAACCCATAATAGTAGTGTTTGAATATGAATTAAAAGACCTTGAGAAACTAGTTGATGAAAATTCCTTTATTCTTTGTTGTGGATTATGACCAACAGTCGAATTAAAAGTCAAAACCTGCTCTCCTACCAAGACCTTTAGTTTCCCTCAATCACTGAACATCCCAAAATACTCTGCAAGATTCTGGTCTAATGTCCATATCACTGTAATGCCAATTCAGCATTGGCGCATATGTACACAAGAAAATGTTATCTGCCCATTTTGCCAATGGGAAAATTAGACCCAGAATGACCACATAGCCTATCTGATGCAGCTAAGCAAGGAGATTCTGTACCAGAAAGAGAGTCTAATAAAGCCTCTGCTCAAAAACTGGCTCATTTCCTTCCTTACATATTTACATATTTCTTTGTGTTTTATTTTCCTAAGGGCTTTATAGAAATTTCTATCATTTGCAATCTGTTCTTCTAGTTATATGAATCTATTTTCTCTTCAACCAGCATTTTTCTTTCCTTGACTTAAAAAAAGAAAATAAAGAACCAGCTTTACTAAAAACATGTTGCAGCTCTCCTACACTTCAGTAAGTACAGAAGCTAAAATTGACTTACTTTCCTGCATATTGTGTCATTCTTCTAATGGTGTAATCTAAGGGAATAACCTCCGATTTGAAAATGTGAGTACTCATCTTCAGGACTGGTCTACTTAGATCTGATGTGAGTATAAGTCATGGAATTTTATGACTGGATGTGCCCTTGGAGATTATCCAGGCCAACCCTCTCCTAATACAAAATGTTGGTGAAAACTGAAGCTCAGAGAGGCCAAGCAACTTCCCTGGGGTTACAGAACAGGGTTATAAGCCAAGCCAAGATCTGAGCCGAACTCCTGTTGATTCCTCATCCAGTGCCCTTTCTACCTTTGGCTGTTTCAAGTATGGACATGACACCTTGTTATTATTTTGTTTTGACAGTCCCAAAGCTAAGCAGTTGTAATAGAATGGGTGGCATATGGAAGTAGTGTTTATTTGATGTATAGGGGGAAAGAAGACCTTCTGATATACTCCATACCAAGCATCACTTTTGAGTATGGAAAAACACATTGCTTTCTGAATCTCTCCTACACTTTTATCAGAGAGTAGGACTATTAAGGGTCTAACATATCCTAAGTTCTGGGAATAGTGGAAAACATGGACCTAGTTCCTGCCTTATGGAGCCTAAAGTCCAGATGGGAAGACAGATATTACATAAATCATTATAAACAATTAAGTAAAACATTACAATACCCAAAGAGATGAATGAGCTGTTAGGGGAATATGTTACAGAAACACCCAACCTGGCCTGAGTTCTAAAGGAGGACTTCCCTGAGGCATTGATGTCTAACCTGAAGGCTAGAGACTATGTAAGGGTTCTGATCGATGCATTCCATTGGGAGTGAACATTAAGGAAGATGGAGGGTGTATAGAACAAAGCACGACTGTGCCCAGATAACTGAGAGATGCACCACATGGCTAGAGCAGATGGAATGATGTTAGAGCTAGAGAAGCAAATGAAACCAGATCACCCAGATCTGTATAGGCCCAGTTAAGTGTTTAGAAATCCATTTAGAGTACTGTAATCAAGGGAAAGATGGGATCAGATTACGTTTTAAAAGATTTTCCCAGCGTCATTATGAGATGAATTGAAAGCACAGTGTGGAGACTGACTAGGTGGGAGGTGAACACACAGGCCAGGTGCAGCACACACCTGGTGTGTGCTCTAGACCTTCTGGCTTAATTCAGCACAACTCTTTATTCCAATGATATATCTTATGTTTCTCCTTTGTCTTTTTTTAATGAAAGGTAACCCAGTTAGTCAACACTGCTCATAATAAACACAATTAAAGAAAAAAAGACAGCAGCCACCTAATGGATATTTTAAAACAATTATTTTTCTGTCTCTTTGAAGGAAACTGCTTTTGCTGCATTCAGATTGTAATATTAAATTGTATTTGGGCTAATTACAAATATTCTAATTGTAAAGAGCTTTGATTTAAATGATACATTGTCAGTGCAAATAACATGAATGAGTCATCAATTCAATTATTGAAGTAATAGTAAAGTGCCATCCATTATATTTGCATTGATTGCACTCTATTAATTTTTTAATTTACTATTTTCCTGAAAATTTGAGTGTGTATATGTGTGTGTGTATAGAATAGAGCAATGACTTCATGATAGGATTCAAAAATAGTTGTCAAATTATCTTCATGTGTCCTGCAATGATCAGAAATCATAAAGGACAATGTGCTTTTGAAAAAATTTACCTGAAATAGTTTTAAAAAGGTGTTCAGAAAGAATGGTTTTCATATAAATAAGTTATCTTATTTTCTTAAGGAAACCAGTAGACAGTTTATATCACTGGTGTGACATAAGACCTAAGCATAACATATGGATGAGTGCTGCCATTTATTCTCTTTTTGACAATCTGAATTATCTTTTGGATATTACTCTGAATAATAAATCAAGAGATTTAAAAGTAGAACTCAAAATTGGAAAATTGAAGTTGTAAGTGCTTTTATCTTAAGTAGATGATATCTTCATGTACCTTGAATAGTAAGTGTTGTAGCTTTGAGCTAACTTTATGACAATGAGCTCTTCAGTGAGTAATACTAAGCTAATAATATATGCAAGTCCTAGGAATCAGGGTTAAGTATGAATTGTTATATCTACTGACTTTCATGAGAGCCCAATTCAGCATATATGTAAACTTTTATTCTCTATTTTTTCTGATACAATATAATACATTCCATCAACTGCCATTGAATAAGTCTTCTTTGGAGAAAGACTAACATTTTTTTAATAATTATTGTTTTGTATGTCATTATTTCACCTTATTTCCTGGAGTATAGCATTTTTTAAGAAAATGTGCTTTTTCAGAACTTCCTTTTAATTTAAAGGAGAAATGATTTTTGCTAAGATAATGTAAAATATTCATTTTTCTCCTATATTGGCTAGGGGCATGCAAATGCTAGAATCTCTGGCTTTGATGGGAGTAAATTTGTTTTTTTTTTTTCATTCTTGCTTTTTATAAAAGAGGTAGGGAAAGAGCTTGACATGGCTTAATTTTTCACTATGCACTTCCTTTTGAAATCCCTGGTTTTACTGACCATTAAAAACAGCATGATGATGAACATCTTTTCCATTCTGAGTATGTTGGACCAAGTGATAAGCAAACTCCTGCATGTCTGTTTCATGTTAGTAAAACATGGGAACCTGAAATGGAAACAGAAGGAGGCCATTATGTTTAATCATTTCTGTTTCTGCCAGTTCTGTTCCAAGCTGGACTTGTACGTGCCATTTAATTTTAAATACCTCACCATTTTCATAAATATACAAAACCCAGGAAATTAACAACAAATCTTGTTGTATCTGTTTATTTCTTATAGGTTGGACGAATTGAAGATTTTCTATACCAATTAGAGGACAGTTTCTTAAAAACTAAAAAACTGAGAACTGCTCGAAGGCAAAAAACGAAAATGAAACGGCTTCAAACTGTGCAGCAAAGCTAGTCATTAGGGAACAGGCGCTACCACCAAGATGTCCCAGAAGAAGAGTCGAGGGCAACCACCCAGTCTGACTGTGACAGGTGAATAACATAGACCTGTCACTAAAGGCATGAGCTTGTACTCCCCTCAGCTCATCTTTAGCAAAGACATTCTATACTTCATTAATCTCAACTGGCAGCAATAAATGTTCCCAGCAAGTTTGATTTGACTCTTGTTCAAATTTGTCTTGTTTAGTTAAATAGCATATAAAATAACCATTGCTGCCTCTTTCACCTGCCTTGTTCTTTCATAATTGACTACGGTATAGCAGGTCTACCCAAGTATGCTTATAGTATACATCTATAATCGTGTATTCATTAATAATTTTTCACATGCCACATACAGATATGGAAAACAATATAAATGCAAATTTAAAAGTATAAAACTGATAATGTACTTTCTCAATCCTTATAGAGATAGTCATATGTGGTATGGCTGATATCATCAGTTAAGTTGTATCATTAAGTTGTCTCTTTCCTCTTAATCCTTTACATTGTATTTTCCTTGCCCCTTAAGCCACACTACACAAATGCACATGTTGACAAGGTAGTGAGTCACTAGCCATCATTCAATATCTCAAATTATGCCAACAAAATTTGGGAATAGAGTAAGGAGAAAAAAGCCAGATACAGAGTAAAATAGACAGAAAAATATAATATTTTAAAATAGTAAAAAAATAAATTGGATTTCAGAGGACATTAATAAAAGTTCAAAGGACTTGAAATAGTTGTTTTAAAAAGAAAAAGAAAATGAACTCAACTAAAATTTCTGAACATAGGTAATAGACTAAATAACTTATTTCAGTCTCTCTAACACTTAACCTAATAACATATAAAAATTTTATAATGTTAAAGCTAGATGCATAGCACTACTAGATTTCAAAATGTATTACAATGTGATAGTGAACAAAATAGCATGATAATGGCACAAAAACAGACATATTGACCAATGGAATAGGATAGAGAGCCCAAAAATAAACCCACACATTTATGGTTAATTGATTTTTGACAAAAGTGCCAAGAATATGCAATGGGGAAAGAATAGTCCCTTCAATAAAGGATGTTGGGACAACTAGATATCCTCATGCAAAAGAATGAAAATGGGCACTTATCCCACTGCTTACACAAAAATCAACTCAAAATGGATTAAAAACTTAACCATAAGACAAACTACTAGAAGAAAACACAGGGGAAAAACTCCATGACATTGGTCTGAGCACTGATTTCTCAAGTTTTCAAAAGCACAGATGATAAAAGCAAAAACAGACAAATGGGATGTCATTAAAGTATAAAGCTTCTTCATAGCAAAAGAAGCAATGAACAGAGTGAAGAGACAACCTACAGATTGAGAGGAAATATCCGCAAATCATACATTGGATAAAGGGCTAATATCCAAAATAAACAAGGAACTCAAACTATTCAATAACAGGAAAATGAATAATCCTATTAAAAATGGGCAAAGGACATGAATAGACATTTCTCAAAAGAAGACATACAAATGAACAACAGAAATAGGAGAAAATGCTCAACATGTCTAAACATCAGAGAAATGCAAATTAAAATCACAATGAAATATCACCTAATACCTGATATCAAAAAAATGATACATAGTAAGTGTTGTCAAGGATGTGGAGAAAAGGAAACATTTGTACATGGTTGCCAGTATTGTAAATTATTATAGCCACTTTAGAAAACAATATGGAGGTTCCTCAATGTAAAAATAGAATACCAGAGGAAAAAATACAGTTCCAGATGGCTGACTAGATGCATCTAGTACTCATTTCTTACAGAACCAAAATAGTAAATAATCACACTTCAGATAGATCATCTAAGAGAGGACACTGGAATTCAACAGAGAAGTGATGGAAAACACTGGGAAGTGGTTAGGTACAAAGAGAAAAAGTATTAAAGAGGGCTACCAAGTGTCTTCAATGATATTTGCAAAGTTTGAATTTTTAAGCTGGTTAGTGGATGTTCATTCTATTATTCTTTATATATTTTACATGTTTCTAGTAGTCTATTAGAAATAAATGATACAGTAAAATTTCTCAAAAAAACAGAATTAGCCTTTGATCCAGCAATCTCATTTCTGGATATACATCCAAAGGAATTGAAATCAGTATATTGAAGAAATGTCTTTACTCCTGTTCAACACAGCATTATTCACAATAGCAAAGATAGGGAAACAACTAACATGCCCATCAACGGACTAATGGATTAAAATAATGTGGTATATAGACATAATGAAATATTCTTCAGCCTTTAAAAAGCAGGAAATTCTGTCATTTGCAACAACACATCTGAACCTAGATGCTAAGTGACATAAGGCAAGCACAGAGACAAATACTGTAAGATCTCACTTGTATGTTGAATTTTGAAAAGTCGAATTCACAGAAGAGTAGAATGGTGGCTATCAAAAGCTGGGAGTTGGGGTGGAAAAGAAACAGAGACAGGGGAGATGTTGGTCAAAGGGTACAAAGTTACAATTATAAGAGAAATAAGTTCTGGTGATCTATTGCATAGCATGGTGATTATAGTTAATAACAATATATTAATATATTTCAAAATAGCTAAAAGGGAGGATTTTAAATGTTCTTGCCACAAAGAAATGATAAATATTTGAGGTGACAGATAGTTAATTAGCCTCATTTGATCATTCCATAATGTATAGATGTAACAAAATATCACATTATGCCTCATAAATGTATACAATTATTTGTCAATTAAAAATAAAATAAAACTTTTTAAAAATTAATAATGTTAAAAGAAAAAAGATACAAAACTATATACAGCATAATTATAACTAGGTTATAAAATATATGCATATAAAAGACTGGAAAGAAATAGAATAAGATATTAAGAATGATTATCTTTAATGGGAGTAATTATGGGTGATTTTATTATCTTTTCCTTAATGTTATGCAATATGTTCCTCGATAATAAGAAAATAATCTTTTAAAAACCTTCTTGTTATTTATTAGCACTCTGTGGAGAAAAAACTAATTCAGATTGGCTTTTCTTTCCCTGTTTATAAGAAAAACTATACATATCCTGATACTTGCATCACAAATAAAGGCTCTTTTAATACATAGACAAAGGCCAAAAGAAGCATTTTATTTAAAGAATTCTCTCAGGCATAAACATTTTTTATGACTACCTGCACTAAGCAACTCTGGCACAGGAAGTACAGATGATCACTAAGTAACATTACACAGGACACCAATTATGGTATTTTACGTGCTTACAGGTAAAATACATATATGCATTGTTTCTTATCTCTCTTGCTTGTGTTTCCCATAACTTTCTCCTCTGATTATTTTGTTTCATTCTTTTCCTGTACTCACAGTATATCATCTCATGAAATATGACATGATCACAGACCAACATCTCTTAAATCAAAATGTATTGAAAGTTGAGAGGCTACTGGCAAAGCTGTGATTTACAATGGCTTGATTCATTGAGATGGTATGACAGAGTCTAAGCTCAATCAGATATTTCACAAGTTGCCTGTTCCACTGAGCAGGCCCTGGGCTTATGGACATGGATACAAAAAACTATTGTACAGTCTTGACAAGCACCAGATTGTCATGATGGAATATAATGACACCTGGAGGCAGGTGCCTATTTTTGACAAGACATCAAAGGGAAGGAAAATCAGAAAACAGATCCAAAGAGCATCCCAAAGTTACAATGTGAGCATATTTTGCTTGTATAATATCTTGATGAAAAGAAGCCACAAACACCCAGAGACCATAGGAGATAATCAGAGCTCAAAATCATTCCCCATGTACATTGTGTAATAAATGATAGAGAACCTTAAAAATTAAACACTAGATATGTGCTTTTGTTGTGATCTTCAGTCAATCCAAGGCAATGTGCAGAATTAATATGCATTAATAATCCAGACTTTAACTTCCTTCTTAAATAAATGTTTGGGGAAATGGAAGGTAAATATTTAGTGAGAAATGAGAGGACTCAATTCCTGACATTGATAGCAAGTCAGTCCTTTCTCTAAGATTTGTATAACAGGTTTACAGATATGATTAGGTGTCTCACTTCCTTAAAGCCAGAAGGGAAAACTGGTGTAGTACAGCTATTAAATATAGAGCCCTGACAACAGCACCTCTCACAGGTGTCACTCAATTCAAGTTAGCTTGATACGATAGTAATCATCATATGAAAAGCAAAATAGGCTTAGATTTTGAAGATCTGTGTTCAAGTCCTAGCTCTGTTGAAAAAAAGTATAATCATTCTTTCCCTATTTAATGAGGTTTCACTAAGGAGCAAATGAGATAATGAAATATGAAATACACTGAAGCAATAATACCTTACCTGTATTGACAATTCACTATACGCCAGGAATTGTCTGGTTTAGTCCTCATCACAAAGCTGAGAGAGGAAATGCTATCTTCTTTTTATGGATGGGTAACCTGAAGCCCAAAAGTAGTAAAGTTGGAATCCAAACCAGATAATTTTACTCTAGCATAAGGACTTGATGATATACTACCTCTCTGTGTTTTATAATTATATTGCTGTTTTTAAGACCTTGTGGTTCCCAAGTAACATTAGTATTACACCTGCCCAAGATTATCCAAAAATGAACCTGAGAGCTCTGTGTCTAGTATTGTAGTCACTAGCCACATGGGACCATCAAGCCCCCAAAATGTGGCTAATGCAACCAAAGAACTGAATTTTCTAATTTAAATTTTAACTTTTTAACTTAACTTTTTAAAATTAAGTTTGTTTTAAAACCAAAACTTGATTCAGTTATTGGAAAACTTTGAAGTATTTTTGGAACAACTTGTGTATGAAAATTGACTTTTTAACTATAAATTTTATGAAATCTAAATACAGATCAAGTATCTCCAATGAAAATTTAGCATCTGAATTGAGATGTACTGTAAGTGTAAAATACACATTTAATTTTAAAGACCTCGCATAACAAAAGGTAAAATATCTCAAAAAAATTTTATTTGGGAATAATATTTTAGATATAAGAAAACATATCATTAAAATTAATTTTATGTTTCTTTTTGCTTTTTTACTGAAGTTATTAAAATATTCAAAATTACATATGTGACTCAAATTATATTTCTGTTGAATAGCACTGGCCTGGACAATACGCCAGCTGGAACTGGAAGCTCTCCCCTTCTCTTGGCAGGATGGGCTGAACAGGAAATCAGCCTTTCCACCTTGGTTGTAAGTTTCCACAGGCCCAGTGTTCCCAAGGGCAGGGCAATTGGCTTTTCCAGACAAGTGGCCATAAAAGTCCTATAGTCCGTTGGTATCTACCCCCTTTGATATTTTTCCTATAAGACGAGAGACAGACATGGAGAGAGGTCCTGCTTTTGGAAGTGCATCCAGTGTGTCCAACACAATGCCCTGTACTTAGCACACCTTGCCATGGACATGATGAACACCACATCTGGCTGAACCTTGCCTTGTTTCCCTAAGAAAGCATTTCTAACCCATGGAACTGTAGAATTTGCCTTGGCTTAAGACAGGTGGTGACCACCAAAGGACCCACTTTGCACAACAGGGTCTCCTGGGAATACTTGGAAAGACTAATCCTAGGAAAAGACTGAAATTTCTACTAGTATGAAGGTAAGATACTTAAAGAGTGCTGAGATTTGTGATTTATTGTTAATGTGACACATGTGTACTTAACACAGGAGAAGCCAGGGATGTACTGGGTACATCTATAACTAGTGTTAGTCCCTTGAGTCACATTATCCCATAAAAACATAAGTGGTAGCAAAGTGAAGTTCCTGAACTAACACACATACTGCGTTTAACCCAGAACAAAGCTGGAATGCAATACTATTTTTATATTCCAGAGACAGAGGAATCCCTACCCACTAGCATGTATGACAGAGAACTACCTGATGAGAAAATCCACCTCCTTATAATGCTAATTAAATGAGAGCATCCAACTATCTGCCAGGACATAGAGTAGACATTAGGACAGTAATATGAAACAATATAGAAAATATTGGCTTTCTCATTATATGTTCTGAATCTCAGTTACTGAAGCCATGAAATGATAATAGTCCTCATCTGATCTGAGAGCCTTAAATTAACCATGTATTTTAATTGCCTAGACAGTGTGTGACATAGTGGTGACTCTAAATATTAATGTCCTTCCTCTGAGATAGAAAAAAAGTAAAAAGTCCCTGCCCAGCTAGAGTTGTCACTAGCCGAAGGGGCCGTCCTGAGGCACCTCTGCCAGTGCTGTCTAAAGGGGCACTTCCCCAGGGACAGGCAGGAGCCGCTGCTGGCTCTGGAAGGTGCATGAATGCATGACAGCCAGGAGGTAGATGTTGAGAGGACAGAAGGGACAAGACTGGGTGATACAGAAGGTAGAAGGGATTGCACTGATATGAAGTGATCCCAGAACAAAAAGGAGGAATGGTTTCCTTGAAAATAAAATTGCTTTCTGCCTGTTTTCTTGTCATTTGCCTTTCACGTACAAAAAAAAAAAAAAAAATGACTATTCGAGGTATTTCATGTGGTCATGAAATGATCACAATTTTAAATGTTTGTGTTTTACTAGAATTCTAGAGCTTTTTAAAAATAGAAACATACCTTCTTTCTAATGCTTTACAACAAGGCAGTCTTTATTTTTTTCTATTCTGTATCAAAATCTTAAATGTGTCCACTCGACCCCTTAATTCCCACTGTCACTGCCTTAGTTCAGGCCCTTTAGCATCTCCCGTGAGCTGCTATTATTCCTGATGGGCTTTGCCTCAGTCAGTTCGAACTGCTATAACAAATTATCATAGACTGGGTGGCTTACACAGCAAACATTTATTTCTCACATGTCTGGAGACTGGGAAGTCCAAGAGGCAGGTGCTGGCACATCCGGTGTCTGGTAAGGGCCTCTTCCTGGCTAATAGATAGATGCTTTCCTGCCGTGTCCTCACTTGGCGGGGAGCAGAAAAAGGAAGCAAACTCTCTTGTGTTTCTTCTTAGAAGGGCACTAATCCCATCATTAAGGCTCTACCCTCATGACCTAATTATTTCCCAAAGACCCCATCTCCTAATACCATCTCATTGAAGGTTAAGGTTTCAACATATGAATTTGGAGAGGTCACATCATATAGTTTGTAATGGACCTCATTCCCTCCAATTCCAACTCACTCCAATCTCTCTCCCACTCTGTGACCAGAGCAACCTTTCCAAATCCGACAAGTGTCAGTTTCTGCACTGCTTTCACACCATCAGCAGCCCCCCATTTCTATAGGATAGACCAGACCAGTTTGAAGGCACTGAGACTTCAAGACACAGCCCAACCTAATTTCCTGTCCCATCTCTCAAGAAGCACCACCCTGGAGCACCCCGTATTTCAGGGATTATGGGTACCATCCCCTGATGATCTCCCCTACCCTACACCCTCTCCCTTTTTCCTTCCTCAATCTTCAAAGCTTCAGTTCAAAATGTCACTCAATTATTAAAACCTTCATCCACTCACTTCCCCCTTTTCCACATCTGTCTCAATAGTCACAAAACATTGTGAATACCACCAGAATACGTCCAGTCATATCATATCATATAAGAATGAACTATATACACATTATTTTTCTCCATTATAGTGTGGACTTTTAGAGGACACGGATTTTTTTTTTTTTTTATCACCAAGCCTTCTCCAATTTCTAAGACAGAATGAATTCTCTGTGAATACTTATAGAAAAGAAAAGGATGAAAGAAAAGAAAAGCATAGGAGAATGTTTAGCAATTAAGTTTAAAATCTGAAAGAATTGGTTTTTTTGGCCTAGTTCCTATAAGGAAGTTGCTAGACAACCTACATTGTTTCTCTAACTATCACTCACTCTATTTCCTATCTGCAAAATAGAAATAATAATATCAGATCTTATTTTCCTGAAACTCTTAAGAGAGTAAATGAATTGAAAGAGCAGCTTTAAAATTCCAATTTGAACTGAGTCTGAGGTCATTTTATATTTTTAATGTATTTTTCAGAAAAGAAAAATTGATATTTTTTTCTAATATTTTTATTAAAAAATTCTCTTTTGATAAATATGATAGGAGATAAAACTTGACACAATTTCAACTCTTCCATCTTTGTTAATGAATTAAGCCATATTAAAATGCAATAAAAAGGGTATAAGAGGCTACTAAGAATCATTCAAATTTTTATCAGTCATTTTCCCTCCATAAAATGAGTATTTCTATTAAATGATATTACATAAAAATGGAATTTTAATGTGTGGAGATTCTTTAAAATCATGAGACCACCTGGTAAAAGGCAGGCTTGATATTATTTTTCCCTCCATAGAAATTAGAAATGAAAGAAATTAGACATGAATGAAATTAGAAAATGCAAAACCAAAATAGCCACAAAATGAAAGGTGCTACCCAAATGTGGAAGAACTTCCAACTCAGAGATGCCAATAGTTAAGAGTATTAGGGTTTTGATCAGCAGTGACCATGGGAAATGAGCAATTTCTCATGAATAGAAAGGGTCGCAAGAAGACACAAGCAAGTGAAGGAGCGATGTGTGACTAGGAAACAGGATTGTGACATCATAGCATAGTTGAAAACATGAATTACTTGCCAACAAAGTAGATGTTATGAGAAAGAGTCTCAGTAGGCAGAGAGTATAATAAAATTGAAAGGATAGTTATTTCAGGGAAAAGTGGGCTCATCAAAGAATAGGAAAAGTATATCTGGTAAATTTGTATCAGTAGTAAAACTTCGATGTCATTGTCAAAATTTGACTATGGTGATGAAGAGAAAACGTGAATTAAAGAAGTGTTGAGATAGTAAGCATAAAACTGAGTAAACAGTTCTCCTTGGAATTTGAGAGATGAGACATTGTCCTGTGAAAGAGTCTGTTCAGGTGTGGTTTCTTCTTTCCAGTAATGGATAATGAGACAGAAGGGAGGGGAATAAAAAACAATTGTTCTCCTTAGTAGGTCTGGATCTTAGGCAACTAAAGGAACTTCAACTTCTTTGGAAAAAAATCTGTGCAGTGGTAGGGTGAGAGAGACCTTGAGGCTTCTTGAATCCAGCATGTCAAAACACCGTATTTGGGGATATCAGTTTCTGAGCCCCAACATTCTCAAACATTTTCATGAAGCCATCATCCTCAACTGCTCACCCAAGTGTGCATGAAAGTAGGTTCTATTTTATAGCTGTGATCCTTCTCATTTATCTAAATGACTATATAGCTAGCAATTGCTTTGGTTAGTGAGAGTGTCAGTTCTATGATCTGCTCTGTCTTGGTGCACACTTGCTGAAGAATGTTAAGACACACCAATAGCAAAGCAAGCAAGAGGCAAAGTTAATTGAGCAAAAGCAAGATATGTTTGCCACAGACAGCAAACAGGCCCCTGTATTACAGGAGGTGCTGGCTATTAACTAAAGTTTCGTTTCATATTGTCTGGGTTAGACATGGATGGATCATGCATCAACTTGATGGACAACTGTTAGTTATATAACCTGAGTCTTACTGTGCATTCAGATTTCCTGTGAACCTCTCTGAAAGCCCCCAGGGCTGTGGGGTTGGGTGTACTGTAGATTTACACTAATGACATGATAATTTGCCTGAGGCTACATTTGGTCACCTTCCAGACCTTTCTGGCCAAGATATCCCCAGCAGTTTTTGTAGTTAGAGTGCTGAGTCTTGATCGGCAGTACACTCCTCCTCCTGGCACTTGCCCCCTCCCATTCTCTGGGAGAGCCAGAGACCTGTCACTATCTAAATAACAAGAGTGGCTAAACTTTGAATAACAGACCTTAGAAAATTTGATTTGACTAAAGTTCTTAACAAAACAGAATATCAAGAAAAAATAAGCATGAAACTTCATTCACTGTAAATATTTGGGGATACGAATATTTATCTTGACCATCACTGAAAAATATCAATATGAAAAGAAAAAAATGAAAAATGTATATGAGAACAAAAAACCCAACAAACAAGATTCTTCCAAGGTATTAAGTTGAGCACCTTGGAGCATACATTATCTCTACTGTTCCCTCAGAAACAGCTAAGAAAATAACTTCTTTTATATCCAAAGTCTCCCAAATGTACTAGAAGAAGAACTGGGCCTCCCAAGGGACCATGATGTTAAGAGTCACTGTTAAAAGTCTTTTACAAACAGGAAAAATCTAGCTTTAGCTCAAAGCATTCGATGTACTTAGCAAATCTACAGGCTACAAATCACTATTACTACCATGTCCCACTTGGCTTTTTCACCTTGCTGCCAGATATCAATACTGACAACATCTTACATTTGAAAAGCTGGCCCCAGTTCCCAAAGCACTTCACATGCATTAGCTCCTTTGATCTTCAGAGGAGCCCTGTGCAGTAGGGTAGGGCAGTTATTTTCCTAATGAGAAAACAAAAGGTCAGAGAAGGAAGGTTATACTCCTAGAAAGAGGTGCATTGAGGATAAAAGTCCAGGTCTTCTGGGTCCAAACCTACTGCATCTCCCACTTCCATTTTATGTTGCCTAATGATCATGAGAATAGTTGAATTCTCCCAGAAAGAGCAAAATGCTTGGGCAAGTGCTCCTAAATTTTTCTTGAGCCCTATAGCGGAGTAGGTGATGTGTTTTAATACTTGGAGGGGAAGAGACCAGAATGGGCAGAATTTCTCTTGTGAGAGGTGTTGGCAGCAGGCTCAGGCTGCAGATGGGCAGAGGGAGAGACCAGGGTGCAATGCTCCAAGCAGGGATTAAACATCAAAATCAAAAAGAGAACAGCTGTAGCCCCTTCACATTACAGTTTTAAAATTCCAAGCATGTAAAGAACCATAAAAATCACAAGTAGGCCCCTGGATCATAACAGATGAATAAGGGATTTATAATCTTTAAACTGCAAGGAGAATGGCTTACATTTGTACCATTTCCTATTTTGATTACAATCATTGTCCTGAGAGCAGATTCATGTTGTGCCTTTTCTGATTCTTTTTGCAATCCATCACAAGGAGACAAAGGAATGGTAATGTTGCTATACATTCTTTGAAAGACAATAAAAGCCCATGTAATTTCCAACGTTTGCATTTGTTTTGTTTTTGTTTTCAGTTTTCACTTGTTTGTCATAATTTGATTGGGTGGTCATTTTCTATTGTGGCCTGTTTAGTCACTTCATTAACCTGGAAGGGTGAGACGGTCTGGACAATTAGCTTCCAGAATATTAAAAAGGTTAAAGCCAAAAAGCCTGCTGCTTAGTGCTTTTCGTAAACAAGCTCAGGCTTTAAATTCTGATATCTTATTTCAGATTCCCAACCTATAATCATAAGAAATGGCACAAAGCAAGGCTCTTCCTGAATTATTTTAAAATGACATTCATATTCTAATGATTTCTGGTTATATGCAGTTTATATGTCAATAAACCTGGGGGAAATTTCTACCCTCCCTTTCCTGCAACATTCTACTACAATAGAATGTCCTTTATACCTTAGTAAGGACTTTTGTTCAGCTCAATCTGTTTTCCTTTGTATTAAAGGAACTTCTATAAAATTGATAAGGACTATTATAACAAAAAAAATGCTTGATTTTTCTAGAAATTCACTGATCATGGAAATGTGGTGTGAGGGTATCAAAGCTCATATGTAAAGAAACAAATGTAAACGATCCTTTGCCTCTGGGCTCCAGTCAGCTATTAACTGTTATGGCCTAAAATAGGGGCATAGCAGTGTCCACTTACCTGTATTATTGTGCTATATATATGCCACCATCTGGAAAACTGGAGCTGCATCAATGCAAAAAAAAAAAAAAAAAAGGAAAAAAAGACATGGATTATGTTACATTTTTCAGGTATTATTTGAATCCCACAGTTGGGTAACTGCAAAGATGATATAAAAATCCAGTAATTTCTAAATTAAAAAAGAGACTAACTTTTTCTTCTCTTTGCTGACTGTTTTTTGTTTTTATTCTTGGTCCAGCTGTATTGCCTATTCTTTCATAGCATAGAAAATATATAGAACATCAGAAATTGGTATCATGCCCACAGCTGACCTGATTATAGAATTACACTCCTATCCCCATCATTTATATTCCATCTGCCCCTGGGTGGCTTTATACACAGGTGACATTTGGAACATAGGAGGAGTTTGCCCTTGGAGGCACCAAAGCTTGGGTTAAATCATATCATGTGTAGCATTACAGCATTTCCATACAGTGCTTTTATGATGGATATGGTAGCCTCAGGAATTCCAGTTGGATATATAAACAGCCTCTTGTTGTTTGTTATTTTAATTGTGGTCGTTATACAAATATAAATGAAATGTGTACTCTGCTCTTCATCATTTGCATGTAGATTTGGCAAGCAGCATTTGAAAGAAAAAGTCTTGTCACCCAGTTCTCTTATAATTGTCTCTTGTCTCATCTCTATTCTCAGACAATAGATTAACTCATTCATTCATGTATGCATTTACTCCACAAGCATTTACTGAACATCTACTATGCACTAGGCAGTGTGAGAGAGTAACAGGCACATGATATACAAAAATGAGGAGAAAATAGTCCCTGTCTTCATGGAGCATATGGTCTACTGGGGAGAGAAATACAAATAGATAAATTACAAGTACTATTTGTCTTTTAATGGTGGAATTCAAACACAAGTAAACTTCTATGTCAAGAGACCCGAGTAGGCAAGCGTAACAGAGGAGATGTTATTTGAGTTGGATTTTGAAGAACAAGTAGGACATTTCCAAATGGAGAAAGCTCAAAGGACATCCCTGATTGAGGAAAGAGCAAAAGAGATGTGTATAGAGGAAATGAAATTTTAGTTCTGGCCTAAGCAAAATATAATCAAGTAAAGGAAATCTACTTTCCATTGCCTATGACCTAAGTCACATAACATTGGCAAAACTCCAATGCTAATAATTTGAAACTTTGCTTCATGTCCTCTTCTAGTGATATGAACAAAGATAAGATTTTGTTACTAACAACCACAAAAACAGCAACTAATGTGGCTACCATACTTCTCACACCATTATCTCTGCTGATCTCATGGGTCTTAGGAAGTAATCAAACCAAACTTATTGAGTATTGCCAACTAACTAAGGCCTTTTGAGATTTGTAATAGATGTTTGTATCCAGAGCATACAAAGTTTCCAAGGGGGGCCAACCAGATTTCAGGCAACAGGGTCTGGCTTTGTGTCTGTGTTGCAGGAACTGCCTGAGCAAATGGCTCCTGCCTTCTTAAGTCTTATGAACATCTCCAGTGTGTTTTTGCCATGGGGTTGTAGAACAGAGCAGCTTCTCAAGAAGTTTATTATTGCCTTAGCAATGAAGCTGGGTGAGGATCATATTTTCTAAGCACAGAATGAAAACACATGGTCTGGTAACAGACCTGGTGATTGTCTGCCACTTGAGAACCAAACACAAGAGGCGAGTGTTGGCGAAGGACAGGTAGTTTACTCAAGTGTCAGCAGCCTGAGGAGATGGTAGACAATTATCTCAAAAACCATCTCATCTCCTCTGCCTACTGAGCAACTTGTAAGGGGAAGGGGTAAATGGTGGAGGGTGAGGGGGTACGTGGCAGAAAACACTCTTTGTACAAGTCATCATGACTTGTTCAATAGTTCTCAGCAAACAACAGGTCATCTAGTGGATCTTGTCATCAGCAGTCTGTGGTTGGCCTGTTCTGGACACTTGCTCTGTTTTTCCTCAAAGTTGTTTTCAAATCTTGTGCCCAGCAGGTGTGTAAGCAGGCAGCAGGTTAATTCTAAACTTTTAAGACAGAACAAGCTGAAGCATATGGGAAGCAAAATGGCTTCCCTTTAGCTAGCCTAGCGTTATAGTCTGAATGGCTCTTGGGTGAGCTTACAATTTGAATGCAAGAACATCCTGAAAACTTCCAAGATGGAAGAGTACAGCACCCATTTCCCCAAAGAGAGTCTACTCTCTATACCAGTTGCTACGGTTTGAATGTCTCCTCCAAAACTCATGTTGAAATGTAATTGACACTGACGGTTTTTTTTTTTTTTTTAGCATATTATGGGGGTACAGATTTTAAGGTTTCAATAAATGCCCTTTCCCCACCTCCCCCCACAAGTCTGAGTCTCCATCATGACCATCCCCAAGATGGTGCACATCTCACTCATTATGTATGTATATACCCGCCCCCCCCCCCCACCTGCCCAATACCCTATTACTGTAGTACCTATGTGTCCACTTAGGTGCTGCTCAGTTAATACCAGTTTGCTGGTGAGTATATGTGGTGCTTGTTTTTCCATTCTTGGGATACTTCACTTTGTAGTATGGGTTCCAGCTCTAACCAGGAAAATATAAAATGTGCTATATCACCGTTGTTTCTTAGAGCTGAATAGTACTCCATGGTATACATATACCACATTTTATTAATCCATTCTTGGATTGATGGGCACTTGGGCTGTTTGACACTGACAGTTTTAAGAAGTGGGACATTTAAGAAGTGATTAAGCTGTGAGAGCTCTGCCCTCATGAATGGATCAGTGCCATTATCATGGGAGTGGGTTAGTTACCTAGGGAGTTCTGCCTCCTTTTCCACTCTGTGTGCTTGCTTCTACCTTCTTAGGCCTTCCACCATGGGTTGAGGCCCTCACCAGATGTTGGCACCATGCTCTTGGACTTCCCAGCCTTCAGAACCATAAGCCAAATAAATGTCTATGCATTATAAATTACCCAGTCTATGGTATTCTGTTATACCAGCAGAAAACTAACTAAGATGCCACTGCTGTCCAATAAAAATATAATATGACCCACAATATGAACTATATCTGTAATTTTAAATATTCTTATAACTACATTAAAAGGTAAAAAAGGTAAAATTAATTTTGATACTATATTTTATTTAACCTAATCCAAAATATTATAATTTCAAAATATAAACACTATTTTTAAAGAAATAATGGTATATTTTACTTCTTTTTAATTAAGTCTTTGACATCCAGTATGTATTTTTCATTTATAGTACATCTAGCCACATTCAAAGTGTCCCAATAGCCATATGTATCTAGTGACTTTGGTATCAAACAGTGCAGCTCTATATCACAGCAACTATCTGTGTTCCTCTCTTCCCTGCACCTCTCTGCATTGGTAGTAATCTCCAAATAACCAAAGAATTAGCCAGTATTAATCAAGACTCTGGACTTATGGCAAATCTCTTTTGTTCTCTCATGCATTCATTGAATCACTTAACAAACATCGTTTCAGCAACTATTACTATATGTCAAGTTATGTGTTTCCTATAGGAACACAAAATGAAATAAGGCTTGGTCTCCGCTTTCACAATCTAGTTGAGGAGAAACAAATAAAACAATAATATTAATAATATAATGCCTTAAATTCTTTGACAGTGCTTGCACAGGGAGCCATGGGAGCCCAGAGGAAAGTCAAGAATGAACAAGAGAGAGAAGGGAGCTAGAAAATCATTCACTGCAGGACTAGTGAAAGTTTAGTTGAACAGTTGTAAACTGGAGGGGAAAACATTCGTGAAAGAAAAAGGAGCATCTGCAAATACTCAAGGCACCATTCTACAGAATTCAAAAGTAAAATCTGTAATAAGAAAGTTCCAGGAGTGTCAGAGAATAAGTTAGGAAACCTTGCCTATCTGTGTTGAACGTAGCCACTTGGTTTAGAATCTTCCAATAAATTCCAGGCAAATCCCTGCAACTTGTTTTTAGATAGGAAAGATGTCTGCTAATCAGCATTCTAGAACAAGCCTAAAAATCCTACAATTTATACTGCAAATGTATATGCCAGATATGACTATAAGGAACCATCGTCGTTCAGATTTAGTTTTTCAAAAACCAAAGACTGCTGGCTTAAGGTCAGGATGTCTTGGTTATAAAATAGAATTTTTATGTCAACTCAGAGAACTCTTTGCTAAAGTACTTTAGGCTATAGTAGCACAGAGCCAATCAGTGCTCTGATTGCCTCTCTTAGGCTTTAAGATGGCCAGCACGTTCTTCAAGATCTACCTGGGCTTATATTTCCAGCTTTACCTCCACCTTCTTCTCCACGTGACACTCATACTCCAGTACACAGCACTGAAGTCATAGCAAATTACCTGTGGTTCCTGAAATACAGAGGTTCATTCTCTCTCAGTTGTATACCTTTTCACATATGATTTCCAGAATTCACTGCCAATTTCTACCCAAACAATTCCCTGAAACTCAGTTCAACTGCAACTTCCTTGAAGAAGCCCTTTCACCCTCCCCATGTACCGCCACTCTGGGTGGGTGCTGCCCTTTTGTGCTCCCATGAACCCCTATGAATATCTCCACCATAACTTTTCCTTCCACTTACTTATCTTCTCTCACAAGACTCCTAGTGGGCAAAGATTATGTTTATATCCCCAGCGCCTACTCAAGTACTCAATAATTAATTAATAATGATTTAATAAATGATTTAATAAATAATAATGATTAATAAGTGGATGAATGAATGAAACAATCAATTAATCACATTGTCTTCAGAACAAAATCACACACATTGGAGAATTTATCAGATATGAATAATTTAGATACAGAAGGCAGAGTTGTGATTAATCAATCAAATATTTTTTTAAGCAAAAAAATGTATGACACAGGATATAAAATGTTGTGACTAATTTAAAAGGAGGTAGATTTTGATTCAAGATAGGGCTACTAACAACCGTTCTACAAAAGAATAATCTATCTCAGGGGTAAGCAAATTATAACAAATCCAGCTCACCTGTTTTTGTAAATAAAGTTTTATTGTAACACAGCCACACCCACTTAT